GGAAGTTCTGCGACCCAGCTCTGAAGCAGATACTCAGAATGAGGCCAAAACTGGAAGGGGGTCTCAAAAGTGATGTAGCTGTGCATCCACGAGGGGCAAGTGATATCTCCTGCGTTCCGATGTCCTTCTGCAAATGACGCCTTTGGATCAGAGGGGTGCCAACTACACTATTTGGATCATTTGCGCAAGGATACCAGGGTGTTGCTAGAGCATCTAACAGACACTTTCAGAGATGCAGCCCAGTTCTACCTGTGACCAGCAGTCCTGCCTGATGGCTTTGAATAAATAAGGAATCCTCTTACTTTTAATCCAGAGAAATATTCAACTTTACATGAATAACTGAAAGTTGACAGTGGGAACGCTTTCAGGGAAAAGAAACCAGGCCTTGTTCTTCATTCCAATTCAGTTAAACCCCAGAACTAGTCCAAAGGCAACACTGAGCACCTGGGTGTGTTCCTTGTGTTTTCATCGGAGCTAACAGCCTAGGACATAGCTTTAATCCCCAAATGTGGTTTACTTAATCATGGTTGATTGAGTCAAACCAACTTGGCTCAGCCGACACCTTGCAATAACCCATAAACGGGTTTACAAACCATCAGCACAAGGTTGAAATCAGTCCAAATAAACTGCGGTCTGCAAAGCTACAGTGCAGGGGGCGGGGGAGGTATTCTGTTGTGGGCACCAAAATTTAGTGTTTTTATTTGGTATGTGCTCTGATCGAAGGGCAGCAGAAGATCTATCCATTGTAGGGCTCAAATGTCATGAGACGACCAACCCAACTCTTGCAACCTTTGGGCCTTCTTGCTTGAAATCGGGGGAGAGGTAGGGCTTTGGGGACGCTGATGGGGAGAGGGGGGCATGCGTGCGAGGGGATCCCCGGGTGCTGCTGGTGCTGGTCCTCAGACCCTTTGGGTATAGAGTAGTCCTCACAGAGCAGTATTTTTCAAACTTGGCAGCTTGAAGATGGGTGGCCTTCAACTCCCAGAATTCCCCAGCCAGCAAGGCATCTTCAAGTTGCCAAGTTTGAAAAACACTGCCATAGAGGAAGGAAGGCCAGGAACCGCTGTTTGGAGGGGGCGGTGTGGAATCAGCGGTGCCTTCCCGCAGCATCCTGACCCAGGTCAGTTGCAGCGCGAGGGTCTGCACTGCATTCCCACCACGGGGAGCTCCTGCGAACCTCGCTTCCGCTCCTCCCGGCCCGGCGGGGCGCTGGCCGAGTTCCCTTCGGGGTCAGAGCCCGGAGCGCGCTCGGCCCCCCGTCCATCCAGCTCGCCAGCCGCGCGCTGAGCCCGTCCTCGCGCGGCCGCCGCGGGTCCCTTTCGCGGGGAGCGCGCCCCGCTCCCTCGGCGCTCG